GTGATTCGCCAATGGAGTGCTAATTGGTTTTGCGCTGCTCGTCGCAAACCTTTCTAGCATTTTCTCAACGTAACCCCGTTAAGATAGCCACAGTTTCCTTGAGTCTCCATCCCTGCAAATTTCCATTCCAATAATTTTCTTTGCAGCACCTAAATCTTTCATATCAAATTCCTGACTCAATAAAGTTTTCAAACCAATAACATCATTCATGTTCTTCGCAACAATCAACATATCATCAACATACAATAACAGAAAAATAAAAGAACCATCATCAAAGCTCTTAACATAGCACAACAATCATACTCACATCGGTTGTAGCCAATCTTGATCATATAGGAGTCAAACCGTTTATACCACTGTCTCGGAGACTGTTTCAACCCGTACAAAGATTTCTTCAATCTGCAAACTAAATGCTCGTTTCCAGGTTGAGTGAAACCTTCAAGCTGCCGCAAGTAGATCTGCTCCTCTAAATCACCATGCAAAAAAACAGTTTTAACATTCATTTGCTCTAAATGCAAATCACAATTAGCCACCAATCCAAGTACTGCTCGGATTGAAGTGTACCTGACCACAGGAGAAAAAAATTCATCATAATCAACTCCTTTCTACTGTGAAAAACCTTTGTTACCAAGCGAGCCTTGAACTTCTCCCCCTCTTTTCCTGTTACTGCTGGTTTCTTCTTATACACCCATTTGCAACCAATCGGCTTCTTACCCTCAGGAAGGGGAACTAACTCCCATGTACGATTGTGATTCAAAGACTCCATCTCCTCAACCATGGCAGTCATCCACTTGTTGTTTTCCTGACTAGTAACGGCATCATGAAAAGTAACTGGATCATCACTGCTAACAGTAAGTGCAAAAGAGACTAAGTCTTCAAAACCCAATCTGTTTGGAGGCTTTATATTTGTCCGTTTCACCCTGTCTCTGGCGAGACTATAATCCTGCAAAATAATCCGTAGGGGAACCACCAGAAGTCGGTTGAGAAATTTCTGTTTTCTCAACTGGAAACTGCTCGAAATCTACCACTGTCGTGTCTTTCTTCTGCTGCAACATGAACTGTTCATCAAAAACAACATCTCTACTGATCATAGTTTTCTTCGCAACTGGATCCCAGAACTTGAATCTTTTGACACCTTTCTTGTAACCTAGAAAAATGCACTCCTTCGATTTTGCATCAAATTTGGATCTCTCATCAGCAGGTACATGCACATAAGCAGGACAACCAAAAATCCGTAAGTTGTCAAAACTAACATCATGACCAGTCCATACCTCTTCTGCAACTTTCTCAGCCAATGATGCCCTTGGCGATCTATTGATAAGATAACATGCCATGTTAACAGCCTCAGCCCAGAAGTGTTTGGGAAGCTCTGTATTCAACCGCAAACATCTGGCTCTTTCATTCAACGACCTGTTCATCCGTTCCGCAACACCATTCTGTTGTGGTGTCTTGCGCACTGTAAAATGCCTCTTAATCCTGTGCTCTTTACAGAAGTTTAGAAACTGTGTATCTGTGTACTCCGTACCATTGTCAGACTGCAAACACTTGATTTTTCGTTCTGTTTGGTTTTCTACCTCAGCTTTCCACAGCTTGAACTTCTTAAAAACGTCGGACTTGTGTTTCAAAAATTACACCCAAACTTTCCGTGAAAAATCATCAATGAAAGTAACATAATACCTAGATCCACCCAAAGACGATGTCGTGGAAGGCCCCCATACATCAGAGTGCACATAATCAAGAATCCCTTCAGTTGTGTGCTTCGCAGTCTTGAAACGAACTTTAGTCTGTTTACCAAGAACACAATACTTGCAAAAATCGAGCTTACAGCTTTTAACACCATGCAACAGATTTCTTTTATGTAATTCAGTCATACCACGTTCACTAAGATGAGCAAGACGCATATGCCACAGTTTGGTTGTATCATCACAGGACTCAACTGAATGAACTCCACCTACAACAGTACTCCCTAACAATCTGTAATATTTCCTGCAGTCATCTTGCCTTTCATCACAGTCAAAGCATCTTTAACAATCCGAATGGTTTCCCTATCCTCATCAGCCTTAGGGATAAAACCATTCTTGTGCAAAGTGCCCAAAGAAATCAAATTCTTCTTCAAATCTGGGATATGTCGAACACCACTCAACGTCCGAACAGAGCCATCATACATCTTAATTCTGACCTCATCAATACCAACAATATTGCAACATTGATCATCACCCAAATAAACAGAACTAGAATTAACCGACCTATATGTCAAAAATCATTCCCTATTTGGCGTGATGTGATAAGAACATCCATAATCAAGAATCCAGGCATCCGTTAATTGAGTCATTGAAATAGAAAAGCATATCATCCTAACTGCAATCAGAATTATCATCCTCGACCACGTTCACAGACTTGGATGAAACATCACGCTTCTCATCAGTCCGCTTTTTCAACTTCGGACAGTCTCGCTTCATATGTCACGCCTCCTTGCACTTGTAACAGTGAATTGTCTTATTATCCCTAGATTTGGATCTGGAATTCCGCTTGCCAGACCCTGCCTTCTCTGTCTTCCGTCCACGGTCTCGATTACCCTTGACATATAAGCTATCGGCTTGAGAGCTTTCCCCTGTATTCTGCTTCCGCTGGTTGTGAGCCAACAAGGCTGCAGTAATCTCCTCAACGTTGATAGTCTCTTTCTCATATGTAAGAGTAGTTACCATGTGTTCGTAAGAGGGAGGCAACGAACACAACAAAATCATCGCTCTGTCTTCATCCTCAATTTTCACATCAAGCCGAGCCAAATCAGAAACGATTTGATTGAATACATTCACGTGTTGCGCCAAATCATGATCGTCCCTGCATCTTCAGCCCATACAGTCGCTACTTTAGATACAGTTTTGTTGTTAAGGATTTGGACATAAACTGACTTTCCAACTTCCTCCAAATTTCGTCTGGAGACGATAGATGCATGACATGATACATGACCTCGTCCGCCAAGCATAATCGTATGGTTCCTGCCGCTCGCTGTTGCAATTCTTCCCTATCTTCCTCCTCCATCGACACCGGCTTTGTAGATCGCAAAGCCTTCAGGATCCCCTGCTGCGCCAACAGATCTTTCACCCTCGTTTGCCATAATCCGAAGTTACCCTGACCATCGAATTTCGCAACTTCGAATTTTGCTCCTGACATCTGATACCAATTGTTGAAGAATCGGGAAAAGTAAACGAAAGAACACAAGAATTTTAACGAGGCTCGGCAATGTGCTTACGTCCTCGGTGCCTAGGCGGCGCTAGAAATTTTATTAAATGTCTTATAGGTTTAGGTTACATCTCTATTTATAATAAAAAACCTGGTACATAATTACATAATTCACCTTGTACCTTACCGCAGGGGCTACGCCCCCACACCCCCAACCCACATAATCGTAACCCCCTCTACGAGACTTTCTTTGTAAGGACAGTTGATGTTCGCTTCGCTCACTCTGCTCCATCCCCTGTCCTCTTTACTAATATATTTATGAGCCATACCTATCAGAGATGGAAGTAGAAACTGTATTTTATTAGAAAATTTTCAAGATCATTTACAGTCTTGATCCACTCTTTACTAACCAAACAACTTAACTGATTTTAACCTAACTGAAACATAAAGCTTAACGGCAGAATATATTCCTAACAATAGCTTTCAAGATACAAAAACACGCACACACAACTGATAGTCGATCAAAAAGGCACAGGCTTGATCTTTCTTCAGAAGTTTTAATGCAATAATCATTAATATTTTACGCCAATGACTCATGCTTAAAATTGTTGGACTGGAAAAATTAATGTCATGAAGCAATAGTGATCCGGTTGAGTGGGAAACTCTAATGGGAGAATTGGTATTAAAAAGAGCTTCAATTTTGATTACATTGCATATGAACAATAAGGTAGCATCGACTCTGCAGCTTGGACAAAATTTCAACCAATATTGTTGATTTTGAAGAATTATGAAGAGAAAAAAGGAAATAACTCTCATTTTCGTTTGAAACATAATCGAAGCTGTAGCCCGAGTCGGACTAAGCTGAAGCTCTTATTTCGTTTGAAACATAGACCAAATTCTTATCTTGGGTACTAAGCTGAAGCTCCTTGTCTGTTGATCCCAAGCTCCACTGGTCCAGTAAGGTCGGGACCTGTTCCATACCATACCAATTTGATTAGCTTCTACCGGATCAATCTCAAAAGAGTACAGACCTGGTGCAGGATCATCATGACTTCTCCATGAAACAATACGTTGGCTTTGATTGGTTCGTTTATTGAATCTAAGCTTACTTCCGGGGAGCCATGTGTCTGTTGGATGATCAAAACTCTGCCACAGTATAGTCGACAAAATCGAATTCGGTCCGTCTTGCAAAACAAGATTCCCGTCGACTAAAAGCATTGCTACTACTGAACTCGAGATGGTTGAGCCTGTGCTTACATTTGTAGGCCAAATTGGCACTTGGGACTCGTTGAACAGAACCAAGTTACCATCGGAGATTTTCAAAACCGAAGAATATATGTCATGGACTGGTTTTTCTCTGTTTGCAATCCAAACGGTAGTGGAATGGGAGACCTTGTTGAACCACATCCCTATATAGTAGTTGGAGGAATTTCCCGGCCTGAAGAAACCAAGCTCGAAGACTCCGGCAGAAGAGACGACGGTTCGGTTATCGGAAAGTGATTGGTTAATAGAGATGGTATCAACTGCAAAGCAGACATTGGTTTCATCTAACAAACACATGAACAAGAACAACACTGAAACCAAAGCAAAGCATTAAATTGAAAGAGATTACAAACTTACACGTCCATGACTTAATATCATAAACACAGAGATTAGAAAAAACATCTACCATTATATTACAAATCATTGAATAATCGTATATTCTTCGTAATTGTTTAAAAGAAAGTTCGACTTAAACTTACTCACAAGCCAAGAAAAGAAGACAAAAACACCGCAATAAAATGTAAAATCATAAAAACAATAATGTGTGAATACGATTAGTTGTTGCCGAGAAAAACAACGCAGCCATGACAGCAAAGCTCCTTTTCTCCTTCCTCTTCCGTGGGCTCCAAACTCCTCCATGCATCGTTTTTTGCCGATGTGTTGAACGCATGGACTATCGACGTCGACCTCGATGTCTCCCCTGCCTGCCTGTATCCGGCCATGAAAAACAAGTGGCTCCCGATTGCTGCCATTGTTATGTAAGCTCGATTAATCGGAGGCCACTCTGCATCCGACGTGGAAACAGGCGATGCTAATGTTTCCAGGTGTGATCCGTCGACCACATCCCATATTTGCCCATCGTACACCTCTATGTGACCTTTCCATGTAATTAGACAGTCCCCTGAGCTATAAAGCTTTTCATCAACGGCCACGATTTGATTAGGTGGCACGTCCAATTGCCACATTCCCCTTACTAGATCCCACTTGGCGTTCTCCGAGTCATACACCTCAGCCGAACATCTCCCAAATATATTCCACGGCAGCTTATCCATATCCGCCTTCTCAGCAAATCCCCCTATCACATGGATTTTCCCTTGCCATGTCACACCCACACATTTGTATCTCATCACGCTCATATCGGGCAACGGTTTCCACTCATCCAGAATCGGATCGTACATCTCAGCAGACGAGGTGCCACGTGCAACGCCTAACGTGCACTGTCCACCTGCCACGAAGATTTTTCCGTCGCACACGGTGCACGCAAAATCGAACCGTGGGATACCAAGTGGTGCACACTTGGACCAAACGCCATTGCGAACATCATAGCGTATGACAGATGAGAGGATCTCAAGACCAACCTCTACGATTTCATAGGGGCCATCGCCTAGAGCCTTGTGACAAAGCCTTCCACCAATAATATAGATGAAGTCACCAATGGAGACCATAGAAAAATCCTTTCGCACTTGGTTTTCGAGCAGGTCGGGAACTCTGTCCACATAATGCCAAGAGTTGGTTGTAGGGTTGTAACATTCGATCCAATTCGACATGTTCGAGGTGGCCAATAGATCATTGGAACAAAAAGAAGTGTAGATGCGATAATTGGCAAAAGGGTTTTCGGCAGCATCGGAAGGCAATAATAGAGGGGAAATCGAACCCATGAAGTAGCTATGGATAGCTTAGAAGGTTGTCGATTTGAAGTGAGGGGGTGAGTTGGGATTTGTGGCATGAAGGGGAAGTTTATGCAACCAGGCGGACGAAACCAAGACAAGGATAGGCTTCGATGTTAACCAGAATGTGGTTGGCAAAGAGGATTGGGTCTTGTTTTTGGATCTCATGGGGGAAAATATCTATGTTTTTTTTTGTCTTCCTAGTTTGTTGGGTATATATGATCCTAGGCCTAACTTTTATGAAAAAGAGGGAACCCAAAAGAATAATGCCCCTTTCCTGTCCTTGATGCATGAGATATTTTTGTCTGTTTTGTTCATATAATCCACGGAAAAACTTGGAATTATTATTGATCTTCTTGTTCTCGTTATGGGATAATTATCATCATGTAATTCATAACACCCCCATCAGAAATGGTCATTCAGGACGTTAACTTCATCAAATGTCATTATTCTTGTTATTTTTTTACCGTCTATTGGTGACGATTGCATAATAAAACAAGATGAAAAGGTAACAAAGTGAGCACCGCATTCATGAAACAATGGACTTTTAAGAGTTAACATACTATTGAAATAGCCCTAAGGATCTCAATAAGAGAATTTAGGAATCCATTCATTAATTTTTGATACAATCATGAAGATTCTAAAAGAAAGACGTGGGCAATTCAACTAAGCTGAGGAAACTTTGGGGGCCTTAGGGATAATAATATGAAAAGCTTCAGCTTCCTCTTCTGACACCAAGATAACCAACTACAAGCTGAATATGGTGGTAGTTATTGAAACAGAGACCTGTCATATAAATCTCCACTCTATAGATGTCGAGCCACAACTCGATGAACATGTGATCTTTAAGGCCTAGTCAAAAGTGCAGCAATTTAGAATACATTTGAGAAAGATACTGCCGTGATTATGGGCAAATTTCTACAGATTTTTTATATACTTGTTCTATGGGAGTGACCAAGTACATACCTTTGCCTGCATGGCCAAAGATTACATGATGGGTGTTCTTGGTAACTGATTGGAATAGGTTACTTGTTTGCTCCCTGAATGAGTGCGGATGAGCGAGTGGGCAACTAATAGTTCTTAGAGTTGCAGGTGGTTATTGAGAAGCTTTTAAATTGAGTTACGATAAGAAACTTGAGAAGCTTTTCTATAATTCAAGGTGGAACTTCATCCACTTTAATGCCAGTGAGTCAAGATAGTATTTTACGATAAGGAACAGAAGCACAGAACTTTCAACTTTCAAGAAGACTCCGGAATTTCACTCGCCTTTTAATCTTGCCCATTCTATCATAGCCTATACCAATCTTACTATGCATCAACTTCATGGCCAAATCTGCATTGCCAGCTTTCCTCAAGGCATTTATTAGAACAGTTCGGATTCTTCCAGGTATTTCTCTACCCCTAACGACAATACCATCAGCCAGCTTGCAGGCCTCCTTGACTCGGCCAGCTTTACAGAGCACAGTGATCATATCTTCAAAAGCTGTCTCAGGAATAACACCCATAGGTGCTTGATCATCCAAATCTTGCAGGCCCTGGTTACCTTGCCTGATAGACAAAGCCCAATTGAGAGAGCCCTAAAAGAAGCCGTATATGGCGTGATACCTTTATCGATCATCATATCCCAGAGCTTCATTGCCTCTTCATTCTTACGCTCCCGGAACAGTCCACTTATGAGTATTGTGTATGTATATACCGTCTGATCACATCCTTCATCCTCCATCCTTTTAAACAGAGCTAATGCTTCATTGATTCTCCCACACTTTGCAAGGGCATTGTAACAATATGAATCCCGTGGGCAGTCTTTTTCAACCATCTCTTCAAAAAGTTTCCGAGCTTCATCAAATCTACCAGCCTTGCCCAACCCATCAATGAGACTAGAATAAAACATGGCATTAACTGCCACTTCATTAGCACTACAAAACTTGAGATAATCCATGGCCTCGTCTAATCTTCCACTCTTACACAAACCATTAACAATGACCCCATAAGAAACCTCATCTGGTTCAAGCCCATCTGTTTTCATCCTCTCGAATAGCTCTAATGCCTCTTCCATCTTTCCACATTTTGCAAATGCATCTATCAAAGTTGTATAAATTGCCACATTTGCTTTAACCCCATTCCGAATCATATTCTCGAAAGCAACATATCCTTCGAGGCATTTCCCTTCTTTACAAAGTCCCCCAACGACTAAACTATGCTCATGAGGTGGAACTTCACATCCTTTCTCCGCCATTTCATGATACAAGACCAAACAAGAATCAAAGTTCCCCTCTGAATAACATGCCTGCATCAATGTCAAATAAGTAATCTTATCTGGCTCCAAATTTACCATCTCCATAGCTCGTAATAATTTCATCGCTTTCAGAGTTTGTCCCGCCTTACAATATCCTTTAATCATGGTATTGTAACTCACAACATCAGATCTAATTTTACTATTCTCCATTACCTCAAAAACCCGCTCCGCAGATTCAATAAACATAGAACTCACCAATCCATTAAGCAAAAAATTAAATGTATACAAACTAGGTTCAACCTCATTATCTTTCATTCGTCGCCACACCCACAACAACTCCTCAACCATCCCAAGTTCCCCAAAGATATTAATCAAAGAATTTGCCGACGACATTGTCATTACAAACTGCATTTCCTTGAGCTGACCAAATAAAAATCTCATCTTTACCAAATCATTTGCCAATGCTAAAACATTTATTAAAGAGACATAACATTCCAGCTTATGGGTATATTTCTTCTGCTTAGCAGCCCACGCAAAGAACCTCGAAGCAACATCTGGTTTGTTTTGAATCTCAGCGGATGCTAAAACAAAAGCTACAAAATTTGGTGCAACCTGATCAAGTACATGTGGCAGAAATAGTCTAAATTTGATTCCATGTTAGAAGAACCATCTAAAAGATTGATAATTCGGCTTACCCAAGGAGATGGCGTCAAGTCTTCCGGGTTCGTTGCGGACAAATCAGAGAGATTAATGAAGGGCTCTATCCACTCGGGAGGAGGAAGATCACTTTGAGTAAATGCGAACCTAGAGAAAAAAAATCGAGATTGAGTTGAATAAAAATTTCCGAGGAATCGGAAGCGACTCAACATTTCTAAAGGGAGTAGAGAGAGGTGGAGACAGGAGACGGGATAGAAAGAAAGGAACCGGGAGTTTCACTAGGGTTCTTCTCATCAGGGTTTTCTGATGCTAATTTGACGTGCAAGGGAAGGATGTTTGAATTTACGAAAACGAAAATCAAAGGGTTAATTGCACGAAAAGTACTCTACATTAATCCGGATTCTAATTTCATCTTCAATTCGAAATCTTTTAAATCAATTTATCAAAAATATAAGTTGAATACCAACAATCAAGTGATCTAGTGAGATGAGACACTAGGTCCCTTAAGTAAAGTAAGAGGTTTGAATTTTGACGTTTACGAATGGAGTAAATTGGGTTAGAAGAGTTATCATCGCCTCTGTAATATCCGATCTAAATTAGTCGGTCAATAGATCAGATACCAGTGATTAATTCAAAAAAATATAAATCGATGGAACAAGTTTAGTTAATTGCTTGTGAACGGTTAATTTCGAGAGGGTGTCTCCAAAGGTATAATAAAGTATTTGCGAGTTTGTTGTCTGATGTGCATTATTACTCCCTTACTTTATCAAATCTTTTAATATGTACCTCTACTTTATCGAAAATTAAAAGAAGTCCCAAAAGTTACTGAAGAAAGAAAATAAAGAGCGGTGACAAGTAGGCAAAATAATAGTCAAAGACCACGACTAGTTTCGACACCAGAATACATGATTATTAGGTGACAAGTAGTTTTCCAAGTGGAAAATGGAAAGAAGACATTAGACTCCATGGAAAGTAAGAAAACTAAAACACTTGCGTCTAGATTATTGCTTCCCTTTATTCACTAATTGATTTAGAAGCTTCACATATAGCAGAGCACGTTCAAGGATGTGCGCGTGTTGCTGCAGTTGCAGTGCCAGCACCGTTGCCGGGAATCGGCACCTCAAAACCAGGGTTCGGAACAAACGTGTCATCTGCGCCTGGAATATAGCCGGATCCGCCGTTCGAGCCACCAAAAGCTCCGCAAAACGTGTTTTGGGGTTCAAGAATAGGTGGCATCATCATTCGTCCTATGTCACGTGTTGCAGCTGCTTGCATGGCAATGGCAAGCACAATGCCGACGAGGAAAATTCGAGCAAGAAGCAATGGAGCAGTTTTTGAAGCCATTATCGAAGAACTAATAAGATATATGAGGGTTAAAGAGATGGGATTGAACGTTGTTGGTTGGTGGAAAGGAGGAAGAGAATGACTCTTCTTATAGGTGAGGTTCAAGCGAGACAGTCGATGGTTTGGCGGTGGGGTTCCGTTGTGAAAAAAGAAGCCATTGAAAGATGTCGCAGAAAGCAGAAGCAATAGGTGATAATAAGAAGGTTTAGGTGGCCTAGGGTTGCCGGCTCGGGTGAGATTTTGCGGTGAGTTATGAGATTAATGAATGAATTAAACGAACTTAGCAAATTATACATACCTACCTACGCTTTTTCTCCACGAGCATGCACGACAACTTCAAACTGGAGTGGCTTTTGTGTATGGTGATTTACAAATTTCTGTCTACTAATTAGGGTTACTAACTACATTATAATGTTAGAAAAAGATTGAAATTGCCGGCGACCAGTTACATGGCACCAACTACAAGGCAATAAAAGGAAAGTTTAATCCATTGAGTTATTGACTTATTCAATTTTTTTGCTTAACTTGATCGAATACTCACTATACAATGTATTCACTGGTGCAAAAATTTTGGTGAGATAAAGTCTCTTTTTAGTACATTGTTTAATCCATTCTGATCTTATGTTTCATATTTTTTCGACTTTTGTTTTGTTGTTAATTTATGATATTTGATAATCTTTTGTTATGTTAATTTTTTTAAAACTCCAGATAAAAATTTGGTAATATTGGATCTGAACCTTGTCTTCTCACATGAGAAGTTGATTGATTTATCAGAAAGGTACAGCACAACATGAACATATAAGCCACCAATTCACAAGGGTTTTCTTTTCCTTGGATATTACAGAAAAATCAGCCCAGTTTGGTTTCCAGAGGATGCAAATTCAAAGGTTTGGTCTTCCTCGGAGAATCTGGGAAGCTGGACAAGTGAGTTGACTCGGGTCACACCTTCCAAACCTAACCACTTTTGATCTTCTGTCAAAACCGCAACCACATTTCCTTCAAACTCCGCTGCCACCAGTCTCCCATAACCATCATCAACTGCATTACCGGAATGATTACTTTGAAGGGTTGCAGAAGAATACCCTTGTTCCTCGTTGTCATATTCCATTTTCCCATCCAGAAATAAGCAAACAGCCGTACAATCATCCATTTTTGAAGTAGGATACTTCAGTTTCCATTGGCCTGCAGCTGAGTCGACCAAAGCCCTGGCTGCCGACGACCGTGTCGGAGCCAAGGATACAATCTGGACCACCTCTTCGTTGCTCAATACATCCCAAACCTATAATAAATTACAATGTAAATATTAAAGAGAGGCGTTCAGCATGCATGCAGCTTCATAAAAAGGATAAATGGAAAATCAGTGGTGAAAACTGAAAAGATTACCCCATCAGAAGCAAGAACGATGAATTGATCGCTATCGGTGAGAAGCCGGTGAGAAAATTCGGGCATAGAGATAACGCCATATTCCTTCAAACAAAAATCCCCGAAAGCTCGAGCCATTGCTAGCCCTGGTGCATCATCAAATGGCAACCAGACTCTATGTACTTCAGGTTCATCTTGCATTGCAAAGACTCGACCTTTGCATTTTTTAATCCTTTCGGCTTCCTCTGGGGCATGTAAATTTGGTCTTTAGTATAAGCATGCCGATAAGAGAAAAACAAAATGGTTTGAGAGCAAATGTACTTGGTAAATCAGGCTTCAGATCGACTGTCAATTGGATTGCAACCATCGAACCATTGCTGTCCTTCGATCCCATGATTGCTCGAGAATCTCCTATATATCCCATGAACAGGCTGGGGCCCTGAAATAGTAAAATCGATCCACATGGATTCAGAGAAAGGAGGAAATTTTGAAGATGAAGAGCAACAATTATGTCTTCTTTCATACCTGCTTGATTATAGTGACGGCAGTGCTACCACTACAGAAGCAGTCCAAATCAGGATGGGACCTCAACTCTTTATCCATTGCCTTGTATGACTTCATGAATGCTTCCCTCCATGAAAATTTTGATCTGTCCTCGGCAAAGATATTCTTGTCGGGATCTCTACCGTCCGATTTCTTCGAGTTCCCCTTGAAACATGATCCTTCGGATTCATGTTGCCTCGACTGATATGAATGCATGGAGGACAGCAACTTAAGGGGCAGGGCATCCCGGACTTCGTGAGCAACGAGATGACCTTGTGGACCATGGCCATCAAATACACCACAAAAGGTCACATCTTCAGACATGAAATCCTACACATTTTGAGCAGTTCTTGGCTTAGAACCAAAAGAACTAAAATTCAAAGCAACATCTAAAACTTACTTCCCACACAATCATGGCATCTTGGTTTATTCCCTTCCGACCTTGCTGAGTGAATATGCAAGAATTTCGGCTCTTTCCATTCGCAAAAATCCTGTTCGGAACTGAGGGTAAATTCTGCAGCGGAATGACATGATCCGATATAGTTCTACTCGTCCCTTTCGTCACACGAAATCCGATCCGTGCCTCGCCATGGCTCCCGGAACTGCAAGTACTCCGACTACTAGTGGAAACACAACACCCCATTTCACCGGCTCCACAAAGAAAACATCCAATCAAGTTAAAAAGCACGATGATCCTCCTTGTGCCAGAAGTGATCTCACGCCAAACTATATGTAGTCGTCGGAACTGTCAACCAAGATAGAGACTATCACGCCAAAGATTCCCACCAATCACACGACAGGCCACTTTACACCTCAATGTATATCTTTAAAACTTGGTCAAACATATTGAGGATTCCACATAGAGAAAACAAAACTGACTGATTTATTCACCCCTTTGTTCCAAACTGGCTGCAAAAACAAAACAAAACAAAACAAAAGATTGAAGAAAATGCATATAATAGTCTTCCATGTGCATCCCCAATAGAGTGGACTTAAAGTTTGTCCTAATAGTTTGTCGTTCATAAGAAACACATTGATTACAACTCAAATAGCGAGACCTTATTAAATTAATCCAAAAAACTAAAAGGGAAAGGTGGTAAAGACAGAATATTAGTAAAACTAGGAATATTGAAACCATAAAACAGGAAAGCGATGTCTTTTTGAAATAAATTAAAGCAAACCATGGAATTTGAATTTTCAAAACAAAGGGTAAATCCAGCAAGAACTTAACAAGCAAACCTTCTTCCACCCACAGTCTACAGAGGCCTTTAAGAAACCAAATCTATGTTTTTTTCTTTCTTTCACCTCCATGGCATATGTCAAAAGAAGCATTAAATTTGAAGAACATGGTCGATGCCTTCAGCTTGTCTTCTCATAAAGAGAACGCAAAAGCTGAGAAAAAGGGTCGATCATGCTAAACCCAAAAAAATAAATTTGAAAACTTGAGCAAAAAAAGAAAGAGAAGAAGCTGAGTTTAGCTTTCTCAGGCCAGACTACAAAAATTTCAGATAGAGAAAAGAAAAGGGAATGAAAATGATTCAAATGTATCAAACAGAAATGATGGAGATAAAGCAAAACATGTAAAAGCAGAAAACGACGATACAAGAATGATTTTGTCAAGAGAACACAAAGAAGAGAATAGTAGGGATCAAAGTTAAACAAAAATAAGAAAAAAAATTCAAACTAACTGTTTTGTCAAAAAAAAAAGTTAAAAGAACAGAAAAAATTGAAGATAAAATATTACTGTAGAGATAAAAGTAAAATCGACTGTATTATATACCTCAAATATAGAAACAGATCTTACAAGCCTGTAACAAGGTAAAAGCTTTATGCATGGACAATGCTATAGTTTAGCTAAAATAAAACTGGGTTCAAAAAGAACACAGAAAGAAAAGTTGGATGAAATTCAGTGATGGGAGAATGGTGCTCAAGGTTATGAATTAGCAGAGACAAGACGCTGCAAGAAAATACCTTTGTTGTTTGAAAATTTTCACGTTCTTTGGAAGAAGCGGGGCAGTAGACTGGTGAGAGAGAGAGAGAGAGAGAGAGAGAGAGAGAGAGGTGATAATCATTACAAGTTGTAAGCGTGGTGCATTCATTAATTGCAAAACCAGAGAAAAATTGGAGAAAGTCCTTGTAAGCAGTTGTAGTCAGCTGAAGGAGGGATCTTTATGAATTTCCATTTTCCGTTTCATCTTGTATTTTTGTCTTGGCCTTCGACCCGGGTAATGGTGAAATTTCAAAACAAATACTAGTGTGTGAGAACAGGGCAGGGGAAAACAATGATAAAAATGGGAAAGGGAAAGAATATGAAAATGGAGATTTGGCAGTAGCCACATGACTGACTCGGCAACTTTACTTCCTTTACAATGTGGGTTCAGGGGCTTTGGGTTTCGGATTTTGATTTTGTATTTGGATATAAATTTTTATTTAAAGTGTTTACTTACAAGGTTATTCTGAAACTTCAAAAGAGAATCAAGATAATATGATCAAATCCTAAAGATCATTAATTATCTTGTTCGAATCAAACTCAATGATAAAAACTTCAATAGAACTAACTATGTTAATGTAAATTTATGTAATTATTAGGGTATAAACTGAATATTTATGTTGTAAGTAGCCTTTATACCTCAAATTAGAATGTTCTGATATAACTTTTCATTGGATAATAAAAATTTGTTTATCCAAAAAAAAAAAAAGTTATTCATTTGTTTAAAAGGTGAAAATGAAAAAAGTAACATCTTTTTACAGGTGGAGAGCGTGGGGTCAAACAATGATTTCACCCAAAGCCCAAAGAATCTTTCATTAAACTATAATTGAAGTCAATGACAACAGCGTACAAGGTTAGTGAACATTCACTGGGCTTATGTCTGGTTTTTGTGCCCACCCAATCGGCCACTTTCTAACAAGCCTGAGTCCAAATGGTAGGAACAAACATCCGCAATTAGGCCCATTTGTTGGGTTCCATAATTTTGTAACAAGTCCGAGTCCAAATGGTCGGAACAACCATCGGCAGTGCCCGGGATCAGCTCAAGCCAGCAACGAGCACGGAGCAAATCGGGTGAACATCACTAAAAGCACAACTTTGTTGACATTTTGGCGAACATCG